GGGACTATATTTCGAGGTGAGCACTTCAATACGAAGTTGAAAAGCGAAGGACGAGAAATAGAATTATAAAATTCATATCATTTCATTGCATCACTCGAGTCTCGCATTTGTGTAAATTAATCGATTGAGTTTTTTAACAAGAGTAATTAAATAAAAAATAATAATTTGTACGTACATTTTAATCTACCAATCGAGATTGACTTGCGAATCTAACTATATCTCGAGGTACACCGGCGAGGATATCCTTGCGAGAATGTTCAAGTCGCATCTCAAATTTTCATGATTATACCTCACGCGGGACCGCGAGAGGGAAACGAAATCCCTGGCAATTTCGTGTCGACACCCTGGGAACGTGTATTCCCTCTATCGTGCCGCGTCTCGGAAACACGGCACCGTTAATGGGTGAGCGGCGATCCGCGCGCGCGGCTTATCGGCGAAATGCAAATGCGCGCGTACGCGGCGCATTTAGAAGTCAAATTATATCGTAGACGTCGACGCGAAGAAGAAGGGTGTGCGGCGTCGAGATCGACAGATGGCTTTCGTTCGGTTTGCATCCGATCGGATCTTGACATTGCGCCTCGTCAACCTCCCCACCTGGCGTATGCGGAGGCGCGCGTATTTACGGCTCGCGCATTTGCACCTAAATGCGCCGATTCGGCCCTTATCTCGCCCCGTAAACGCGACGTCGAATAAATATGCAAATCTATCCTCTCTCTTTATTTTCAGAAATAATTTCTGGCTCAACAGAAATAAAGAAATCCACTCGCCTCTTCGTGTCGGCCACGAATGAGCTGGACCGAGCGCGTAAAACGGAATAGAATTCGGAAGAATACAACCGGCAATAACTGACAGTCGTTGTTTCTGTTATAGTTTACTCTGGATATCCAAGGCTAACATTTTGTAGACAGTAGAAGATATGATGAGCAACGTTCGCTCATCATCGAGCGAAGCTTCAAGTGAACGTGTACTAAGAAAAACCCGACTGACATGGCGAACGTAGCCAATGCTTCGACCATCAATTAATGTCAATTTGCAACGATCGCCGATAATTACCGCGACGCGTTTCACTTTCGAACGCACGTGTGACTTAAGAAAAAGCCATAGCGACGGATTGATCCGACTGTCATAAACTAGCCGATGACTCTACCGATCGCCGGACCGGTATCGGTCCCAAGTGACTCGGATCGAAATGCGAGGCACAAAAGCGAGGCCGTCTCGCGCGAGGAAGCGAGATTCCGTCGGACGGACGAGACAGACAGACAGACAGATAGATAGATAGATAGATAGATAGATAGATAGACGGTGCGACGGTGATGACACGATACGTACTGTTCTTCTTCTTCTGGCCGGTCGATGTCTTGGGCGGCGTGATCGAGGACGGCGGTCCATTGTGAATCGGCTGCTGCGGCTGGTGCGGATGCACGGGGTAGATGGCCGGCGGGGGCACGTGGGGCAGGGTCGGCGCCGCCGTGCCCGTCTGATGATGATCGTGATGATGATGAATGCTGCCCCCCGGGTAGAATCGATCTCCGCCCCTGTAGACGATCGGCGGCGGCGGCGGGGGCGGCAGGCCGGCGGCTCCGCCGCCCAAAACCGCGGTGCTCGTCGAGCTGCTGCTGGACACGGTGCTGCTGGTCACGGCTACGGCTGGAAAACCGACGGCACGGCGTTAGGGCGATCGCGCACCCGTCTCTTCTCCGTGCTCTTCGTTCGAGCTCGGTCGCTACGCGAGCGTAGATGCCGAGGGACAATCGGCGTGACCGAACAACGAGCTGGTTTTTTTACGCGGCTTGGCAGGCCGAGGGGGGAATTCGTATCGTTATGCCGAAATAGCCGCTTCAAGCATGACGTTGGAGTATCTTATCGTTGAGAACATCTTAGGACGGGGCTGGTTCTCCTAAGACTCGTTCGGTTTCAGCGCGATCGTACTCTTAGAAAGGATCGCGCGTGTTGGCAGGTAATTGTATATCTTTCAAGGAAGAGTCTGCGCACGGTTGATTATAAAAATGTTTACCTCAAAGAAGCATTTCGAGAGAAATGCTCGAACAAAGTGTCTAGTAGTGTTGCAGAGGATTTATTTCTCCGACAGTTATTTGTTCCATGCATTCAGACGTATCTTCTGTTTATGCGGGCTTTACAAGTTCTTTGAACGTTTAAATAAAATATTTGTAAGCAGTATGAGAAATCGTTTCGTGTTTTCGACTTGCTGGTTTCCACGCTAAATAACTGAATCTTTCAGTGCATAAGACCAAGTTTCCTTTAATCTCCAGGGTAAGCACGCTGTTAAAAGAACGCGAAGAAAAAATCCTCAACTCGGTTTTAATGTATAAAGAAGTACGGACAAGTTTCAGAAACTACGATTAAATGCAGCGAGAGGCAACCTTCGTCATCTTCACACTTTCCCATCGCGGACGCCCGCCGATAGTCTTCGCGTTATTCTGAGCGCACAACTTGGCGCTGTACCTGCTAACCCCTCGGAAATAAAACTCGCGGCCGAGGAGGTACGCGCACCCCCCGGCGATATAATTGTGTGGAAGTAGCCGCGCGCGAACTCTCGACGTCTACCGTGAACGCGAGGTCGGGTCTCGCCGTGGAATCTTCAATGCCCGAGATGCTGAGGAAAGAGATAGAGATAGAGAGAGGAGAGAGAGAGAGAGTTCAGAGTTCCCGGCCAGCAAAATAGCTGGTCATTATGGCGCATGAATCGTCTCTGCCGGGGCGGAGGTGGCAGGAAGAGAAAAGGGGGGCCTGGGGGGGGGGGAGGCAAGAGAGGGACCGAAGGAGCGGGAAGACGCTTCGAGGATGCTTCGGAACGAATTGGGGAGAGAATAGCGGGGCGAAATGAAATGGTAGAATTTATTGTGCCCCGGGACACAGAATTGGTCCCCCTCCGGCCGCAACAAATGACGCACGGTGAGGATTATAATCGATAGGGATTATTTAAGAAAGAGACGGGACGGCGGGACGGACGACAGGAGGAGAAACGGGGGCGAGAGGTGGATACGAGGACGGACGAGAGGAGAAAATGAGCCTCGAAAGGATGGCGAACGAATCGGCGAACGAACGAGTACGCCGCCTGTTATGGTAGCCCGTTCCTCTCACGTAACTGATTACGGGATAATGAATTTATGGGCCATTTCTGTTTCGTGCCCGCGATCCCCCGCCTACGTTTTTTTTCCTCACCCGGGGTGCGCGTCTTCGACGGAGGTCGCGCGGAAACGAGAAAGCGTGAAGAGCCGAGAGCGTGATTTACACGCGGAATGAAAAGGCGGTGTCCCTCGTGCAAATGACGCCTGTAATTTTAGATTATGATAATTGAGAAATTATAATATAATTGCGCCTTCCATGGGAAAAAGAGCCTGGCGTTTCGGGCACCGTCTCGCGGGCGGTGCGCGATGCGATGCAAATGAAGAAACGCACGCGAGTGAACCCGCGCAGCGAATCGTCACGCGAATTGTGGCCCCTCGGATCTCGGAGAACAAAGGAAATCCATCGCCATTCGGCATCTTCGCTCTCGAAATCAATATTGCTATTTGATATTCCCGACAAGTGTGCTTCGCAAATGTGACAAAGAGTTGTCTAATTAAAATCAGAACCTTTCTTTCCGCTCGTAAGTCAGTTTCGGTACCCGTTCGACCCTTCGCGCCGTCTATCCCGAATACTTACAGTTGTTGCGCGATGTCGCCGACGAGGTCTCGGCGTCGTTGCCGCAGCAGACCTTGAAGACGACCTTCATGTTGTTGCTGGTGCACCGTCCGCCGATGCGCCTGTGGAGATCGTCCTTGGACGAGGTGCTGATGAAGTAGTAATCGTGGCCCGGGAGGAACTCGAGGCCCCCGGGTTGCGGCGTGAACGGCCTGAACGTGATGGTGAAGTACATCGTTTTGCGCGGCTTGTCGCACACCGCTATTACCCGCGGACTCGGGTTCGTTATCCGACATGTCTCGTACTCCTCCTTGGACACCTGCAAAACGCCCAAGAGAAATCGTGCGGTCAGTTGCGACGGTATAATCGATCGGCGATGCGGGGCAACGCGCGGATCGGCGACACCGATCGCTGATTGACTACTGTGAAAGGTGCCATCTTAGCGTTTCCCCCCCGGCGAGCCGATTCCCGTGCTCTTCTGCACAAGAGGGCTTCATTGTTGGAGCTAATCGTCCTGTAGGAAGAACCGCGGAGACAATGGGACAACGGATGGCGGAGAGTGGAGGGACAATCAAGTGGATCGAAACGATTAGGTCGCCGACGACGCAGGAATGGTCTTTGGGAGGTTTTGCTTTGCTCCAGAGGGTGGACGCCATCGGAATGTTTGATGGCCACGTCCGTGAAAGCCGAGAATCTGCCGCGGCATCCGGAATTGGTTATCGGGAGAACGAAAGTTTGTAAAAACGTATCAATCGGGAATACGGTGTCACGATTTTCGTCTTGGCACCGACACCAGTTTTTTTTTCTCGGGATCAAAATTAACTTTTAGCCGGGAGTAATTACTTGAAGAACATTTCTGCGGCGAATAGAGGTGAAGGTACTTCCAGTAAAATGGAGCGGCGAAAAAAATGACTAATTAAAAAAGAACGATTAAGAAACGGAATAGATCGCGTACGATCTTTCTCGTTCAAAGATGAGACATCTACGCATCGAATCGAGATTAAAACGGAGAAGGCAGATATATCTGCCCAGTATTTCTTTCGGTTTATCGATAAATCTACATTTCGGTAGCACGGGATACGCTTGCTGAAGAGCGGATGTCGTTTTGGGGACATAATGGAAGCGGGTTAAAGAACCAGTTTCAAGTAGCAGCAGCTGTCTAAACATTGGCAGACTGCGATCGACAATATTTTTAAGCCCCGTATGATTGGTGTCATTAGACGTCACCGCGTTACAGTTTGGAATCCGTTTTCGGATAAACGCATCGAAGCTGCTGCCGTTAGCTCGGCTATCGATATTAAGATAAACATTTCAAAAGTTCACTCACGTTGTAGATGATGTACTTCTCAGCATCGTCATCGACGTACGAGTCCGGCGGATACACAGGACATATTATATTAACTTGATCGTACTCGAACATTGCGTTGTTTTTGTTCACGTCAATTATGTGATCTGTGTTGTCTATTCGAAATCTGTAACACAAAAAGAAACGGATTGATTAGCAAGATTCGCACCTCGGCATAAAATCTATCCTTAGTCTAACGCTGAGGATAAGGCAAGGAGGACTTTATAATATTATTTATTCAGCACGTGGTAGACTTTCCCTAGCCACTTATATTCGAACAGTAGTAGATTATTGTAGCATTAGTAGATACACAGTGGGTATAAACGCATTATTGTCGCATTTGGAAACCGCACGTCGAAATTGTAATACGCGATTAATCAAAAATCTTGAAGGTCTGGGAAGCGTGCAGCACGCTTCTCGAGGAGGATGATATTTCTCGCGAACTACGGCGATGCAACGCATACCGCCGTTTCCGCGCGGCAAGTTACAGGACTATCCGTGAAACATTCGCGAGATGCCGACGCCTCCGGTGGAGTCTGGGAGAGGCGAGGCGAGAGGGACTATACAGAGACCAGCGTCCCTACGGCCTGTCGGTAGCCAGGTCAGGAAAGGGAGAAAAAGAAGAGACGCGGACTCGCCCTCGTAAGCATCCGACGTCAGATAGGCAGGCACCTATGGTGTCGAAGCATCGCGCAAGTATACGTACCGGCTGTTGTACAGGATGTCTCAGAAACAAACCCGCGTCTGCCCTGAACGGGCAACTTTTTCGCGAACGGAGTGAAAATTCAGACGACTGTTCACCCTTCCAGCGCCTTTCGCCATTGAGTGGAGAATTCAATTTTACGTCGTGTTAAAGTACAATTTATTCACAATTAAACGGGACAGATCTAGTCTGACCAATGGCAGGTCGTACATTATCGACGCGTTCAGTTCATTGAAACGATCGTGGGTTTCACCTGGCCTGGCACTCTCTATCCGACCTCGCACACCCTGTACATTTACGCGTGCGGGTATGCGCTTAGCCTAGCGGCCGATACGCACACACGTGCATACACACAAACGCGCGCGCGCACACGAATGCGCACACGTCGCTGCATTATGTAGCGGCGGGTTCGTCGATGAGGATAACTCCGGGGAGGATGGAGGAACGAAAGGTCGGCGGATGAGCAGAGGAAAGAAGAGGAGAAGGCGCAGAGAGAAGAGGTGGCGGACGGTTCCTATATAACCGGTTCTTACCGCGAGCACTCTCGCACACGCTAATACGCGCCCCGCAAGTCGAGGTCTACGCAACACAGCCGACGTCCCTCCCTATTTCGCGCCGACCTATTTCGCGTTCGCGAATCGGCGAGAACTGCGCCGTCATTCAATAAAATTGTAAGTCGCGAAGAAACTCGGTATAAGACCTCGTGCTCCAATCCCCAACACGCCTATATATTTTATATTACATTGTAGTAATATAGAGGAAAGTCCCCTGTTATGAGATAAGCTCCTGATATGAGATAGCAGGGTTTTTGCTAAATAAATAGGCAACATTTGTTTCCTTCACTATGAATTTATTGGTCTTGTAGCGAAGTGTGTTTGGTGAAAAATTATTGTTAGATCGTGTAATTGTCGCGAAGAAAGATTTGTGATTGAATTTGGATGTTGGACACCTACTATCTCATATCAGAATAGAGGACTTTCCTCTGCTAAGGTGTTTTATACATTTATCCATAGATTCAAAGGTTCATTATCTATCATTATCCATTTTTAATCTGTCAGTAATATCTTGGAGAAATATTTGTACTACATGCACGCGCGAGAAAATGCCTCGTCCCGTGATTTCGCTCAACGGTATCGCATATTTCACCGCGCATCGCGCTGGACGTCGGGGCGTGCGGTTTTTCACTTAAGCTTATTTTACAATGGACGCAAAACGCAAGACGCCAAGCCGTGGCGCGAGAAATCGACCAGTCACAGTCAAGTATGAAAAGAATGATCGACTGTCATTGGCCGATTTCTTGCGTCGCGGCTTAGCGTCTTGCGTTTGGCGTCCATTGTAGAATAAGCTTTAAGGCCGAATCAGACTAGCAATTGTCGAACCGGATTCGATTGGGATTGGCGATTGTCTTCTGACCAATGAGAGCCCAGCAACCAGTGATTTAATCGACTCTCATTGGCTAGAGGACAATCGTCACTCATCAATCCAATCCGAGTCGGCAATTGCTAGTCTGATTCGGCCTTTACGCGAGCCTCGATTCCTCGCGCCGTTCGCCGTTTACGCCGTTTATAGATGCACGCACTGTCGGACACGCGTCTGCTTTTTGCGGACGCATCGCGAGCGCATCCGAGCCGCGATGCCGGAGCTTTACACGTGTACAACCGTATTTATTCTCTATCACTCGCCCTTTCTTACGCGTATCTGCCTTCGCGCTGGTAGCGCGCAAAGTTCTTACGTGTTTAGAGTTTATCCGAGCCGGCAGCACATCGCACGCACGGCGATGAGGCGTACAGACATTTTTGTTGCTTGTTCTCGTGCTATCTCACGTGCGCTTCCGCAATTGGACCTCGCCCGGTCGGCCACGGATGATGTGAGCCGCAAATCGCACATATTTCTGTACCATAGATACGTTTCAAGTTTTTTACAAAGCTCAATTCGTTCCGTCGATATTAAAACCTTGTGCGCTTATTACTTATAGGATAGATCGAGCCAACGGCAAACGATACTATTTTTCTTACTGCATTGCTTACGGGAACCAATAAGGGTGCAGAGTTTTAGATCAGGCCATTTTAAGGCTAAATCCTGATTGGCTCTCATAAATAACCCAGTAGAAAAAAATAGTATCCTGTGTCGTTGGCTTTAGCTACAAACTGCGATTTATTATAATAAGATTTAAGGGGATGCTGGAGCGATTCTGCACTTTTGGCACCTCTTGCTCCTAGAACCGTCAATTCGTGAAAACATTTGTCTAATATACAATTTATGTGGCTTTTGTGTACGCATCGACAGTGCTCCACTATTCGGACTAACAATAAATCAGAGAACAGCCTAGTGACCTCGAAATTAAGTTTAGAAGCCTAACAAAAATCTATTCACTCGAATAAGTTATAGCTTACGGTAACCTATAACTTATCCGAGTGAATAGATTTTTTGTTAGGCTTCTAAACTTAATTTCTATGATACCAAGCTGTTCTCTGATTCAGTCCGAATAGTGAAACGCTGTCGGTTCGTACACACATGTTTTCACGAATTGACAGTTCTAAAAGCAAGAGGTGCCAAAAGTGCAGAATCATCGCCTTAAGTAGAAATAAAAATTTCAATTATTTAATCCTTCAATCCTATTCAGACTGCAGTTGGACTCATTTCGTTGCGCTTATTTTCTGACTGTAAAACTAAAAGCAATCGACGAAATCGATAATCGTGGATCGATTTCCTTCTACGGGAACACGATGACGCGGGTCGACCGCAAATTTGTCAAACGCTATGATACGCAGGTACGATATGAGGCTCGTGGACGGGAGGTATGAGCGCGTCACGCGCGCGTGTACGGGCCCCGCGCTTGTCACGGGAGACACGCGCGGCGACGCTGTTACAGAGGGAAATGCGTACGCGTCCCGGCGTTTCGGAGCGTTAACGGACAATCTCGTAAGTGGGCGTGTAAGAGCTCGAAAATTGGAAGGTAGGCCGGACCTCGGGCAAATTAACGTTTGGCGATAATATCCGCTCCCTCTCGTTCGTCGTCCCTCTCTCTCTCTCTCTCTTTCTCCCTTCCGCCCTCTCGCCGGGGCATCCCCGGTCCGGGTCTCGGTCGAGGCCCCGGTACCCTAGGCGTAACAACGGCCCGAGCACGACCGCGCACGAGGGCGCCCGGGCCGCACGCGTGTGCGCGTGCATGTGCGTGCACGTACGGCGGGACGCGTGTGTGGGTGTGCGTGGGCGTGTAGGACGTTCCGTCCGCGGCGTGGCCATTCACGAATTTATTGAAGACCGTATATGTACGTGGCAGCCTGAATTACTCGTGATAAAAACGCGCCGTGCTCCCTCAGTCCCGTGTTCCCGACTCCCTCGAGAGCGAAGCGAGAGCAAGAGGTTTTCAGGTCGTCGTCGCAGTCGTCGCCGTCGCGGATAATGTAACGCGGAGGAGACGATACGAGCGAGAGCAGCTTTATCGCCGTTTCCGCCGAAACACGCAAGTGTCTCGGGCGTGTTTAACTTTTCGCCCCGCTCGAAACCCCCGTTCCTCCGCACGGTGGATTTTTTTACTCGTCCGATTATTGCCGTCGCCGGGTTAGTGGCCTCGTCGCGTCTCTTTCCTCTTAATCGCGAAAGTTCGACGGTAATCCGGGCCTTTTTCCGCCGTCCCGCCGCGCTCGTCGTTGATGCCCGGCCTTTCTTTTTCTTGCTCTCTCTCGGGCGTCGCGAGCTATAAAATAAGATCGCCACATTCGTTCCTCCTCTCCTCCATTCTCTTCTCCTAGCCGCCACAAAGAACGACTCTTCTATACGCGCACGTCGGCCGGACGTGTTATTGGTAGCCCCGATGTGTGATTTAAAGGATCTCCCCCCTCGAGGAGCGGTGTGTCATTTGCATATACCTACGTATTCGTAGGATCCCTCGAGTACCCTCGTATTAATGTGATACCTCGCCTCGGTTCTTAACAGTTCTTTTCTGGCCTTAGGTAAACACTCGGCATGAATATGTATGCCACCTCGCCAGTGACCCGTCCGAGATTCGAAAGTACCACGCAATGGACATCGAGCCCCGTTTCATAGTCGCGCGTTCTCTATGCGCGATCGCCATACACCGGGATCGTCCTAACGATATATTATTGAACGCGTGTATTATTCGGCGATTCCCCGCCGGTCCGGCGTTACGACTGAGAATAACGGCGCGTCGAATGGTAGGAAAACGTGATCGCCGTTTCTCTATCGATGGAGATGACCAAGTGCGAGATAGCCCCGGCTTTGGGAACATTATTTACGATTTAACGCAAGATTATTGCTTTTAACCTGTAGAGCTTCTTTTTTTCTCGATCGCGTTAGAAAATAACAATCGTACGCTAAGCGGCTCATTGGTTACGCTTGATCCTAGTATTTGTGATAATCGCAGCATCCGGCACGAACGTGGGAGACGTGAAAAGTCGAAA